GTGTTGCTTTAAAATATTTAAAATAGTGTTTATTAGTCCACGTTAAGACGGTAACCCAGTACAGAGACATCGGTAGGCCATTCATTCTGTACGCCCCCATTTCAGCACAGCTACGGTGCTCGTTTCCGTTATGTTGTTTCATGTGTGTCCCGTTAACTTTGAGTCGGGCGTTGTCTGATCCTACAAAATATGGACAAAACCGATTGTATGCAGACATCCAGGCCTACAATTTAAAAAGCGGGTGTAAAGTTTGCCTGGTTTTTGTTTGGGGGTTTGATGGGGGGAGGAAGCACTACACCCAGAGAGAGAGAGAGAGAGAAAGGGAGAGCTCAGAATAGCGAGGTTTTCCTGCACTTTGATATCCCTTTGCGGCTCAATGAATGAAAACCCAGTGTGTGTAACTTGGCTGTGACTGTGTTGAGGAGCAGGAATGGTTCAGGAATGGTTCGGGAATGGTTCAGGAATGTTGCACTTGCAGCTGAAGAGGAAAGTGTTTGTCCAGTCACATTTCACCCCCCAGTTTTACAAACACCGCCTCAGCTGTTTAAACCCAATTTCAACTGTTCAAATAATCCACAACTGTCCACCATCATCAGCTTGTCCGGTTATTTTAAATTGACCCTCCGGAGGAATGTTTTCCTGTCAAAGCCTACGCCACATTGGAAAGCAACATTGTGTTATGTTGGGCCACATAATGGCTGGTTGGCTGAGGTTGAGCTGGTTTAGAGCTCTTGCTTCGCCATATAATCTAAATTCTTTGCTTTCCTGCACCTCGTAATGTGGACGCAGGCTGCAGAAAGGAGATTCAGGAGATGCTCGGCGGCAGCCACACGCCCCCACACACACACGTAACAGTGCTTTTACACCGTGGTGTTTTGTGTCACTGTGGTCCTGAGATAGTTGTGTACAAACAGAGTAAAGTAGAGTGAATGGGAGTGCAGCCGGCCTCAAATAGGTAGTTTAAACTAAAGGGGAACCACAGAAACACGCTGTGCTGGGCGATGTTAAATCGACTCTTTGGCTCTTGTTGAATCATTTGTGTAATGTAACAATGAGCTTTTGGGTTATACATTTATTACCAAAAGCTCTTTGTTGTTTTAACAGTTATCTTGACATGAGCAGTTTTACCTTTCCATATATGTACATTGTGGTTTGAAACGGTCTCGACTGTGGGAACAGAGTTACAGCTCAGGAAACAGGAAGTGAGCTACTTTGCACCTGAAGTCAGTCTCGACGACGAGCTTGATCAAGTATGGAGGACAGTGTGGTAATTTGAGTGTTATTTGGTTAAATCATGTTATTTCTCCACAGGACGTTCACTACTGAGGCGTAAACTGATGTAGAGATGTAATTATAGTATGTTAGAGGGAGTCCTGTGCATGTTTACAGGCTAACAATGAATGTGATACCTGATGTTTGATGTGGTTTTCCTTCATTTGTAGGGTGAAGGTGCTCGTTCTGTCCCTCTGGCAGGCCATGTGGGCTTTGACAGCATGCCCGACCAGCTGGTCAACAAGTCTGTCAACCACGGATTCTGCTTTAACATCCTCTGTGTTGGTGAGTCTGTCATGTGTGAAAATGCCCTTTCTCTCTCTCCACAGGCTAAAAGATTACTGCTTCACTGAAAGTCAGTCTTTTCCACAAGATGCAAAGCATATTGCCCAGCGTTTGAGCTGCTCAGGTCCGTTTAAGCCAGTCATTATTGGTTATCATGATGAGTACGATGCTCTGGGTTCAGGGAGGAAATTCAGAAATGCCTGCAGGTCGTAAATGTGACATTTAGGCAGCATTACTGTTAAAAACGTACAGAGCAGAAGCCGTTTGCAGCGGGACAGTGAGAAGTGTCTGCCTGTACATTCGATTTTATATTGACAAACACGTCTCTTCAGCTTCATTAAGTGCTGGGCTCACTCACATGCACTCAGTTGTTTATGAGTCGCACCCAGCTAAAACTAATGAAACCTAATACAACAGTCCCGCAGTAAACCTGAGCTCTGTGAAGAAGAGGAAGTTCAGTTTGTGTTGGAGCTGTTTTAGAGAGGCGTTGATTCAACTTCATGGTCGTTGTGAGGCCTTTAGTTTGTGGTGCTCTTTCATTGTGTTATACTGAGAGGCTTCTGTACAAAGGCGTGCTGGCTTTAACAGTTACATTACATTACATTACTGCTGTACACAGTCAGACAAGTCTTGCTATTGGGAATCATTGTGGGGACACAGTGGAAACATGTAACCAATTAGTTGGCTTTTTTTCTCTTTTTCTGCCTTTTGTCTGTTTTCTCCATCACATTTACTAATTTTAGTATACACACAGTGGAGGCTATGTACACACACACACACACA